GGTCCCCAAACCCTGCAAGCTTATATAGAGACCCCTGGTTAAACTCCTGCATTATAGTTATACTGTTTCATAACGTTCTTTCTGAAATTGACTTTGAATGTTGTTCTTTGAAATTAGATATGGGCATAAACTTTTAAATGTATGTTTTAGGTGCAATATGACAAATCACAGGCCAATCCTTGCTCACTGGTTTTGAATAAAATAGATCCCCAATATTTATATTAATTAATCCTAATGACCATTTTTCATCGACTCAGGATGGCTTCGTGGTACAAATGTTACTTGCTTACCCATCTCCAGTTCTACTCTCCTTTGGGAAACATGGAAGGATTAAATTTCCCAGCTTCCCTAGCCACTGGGCAGAGACATATGACTAATTTTAGCCAATGGATTGGAGGCAGAAGTGACGTGTCACAGACGGGCTGGTGCATTTAGTTGCTGGTGTGAGATTCTCCAGGGCTACATCTTCCCCTGTGGTAGCGACTGTGGAGGCACATGGTGGCATGGAGGTGCAACGCCAAGCCGTCGCACGGAGGACAGCTCTGGACAGTTACGCAGCAGGCTCTGTGCGAGCAAGGACTATAAGCCTTTGTTGTTTTGAGTCCCTGAGATTTTCTGATATTTGCTATTACAGCATAACCCAACATAACCAAAATATACCACTGGTTGGAAAATGTGCTATTATTTTATATACCACTGAGGGAAAAGAAGCTGTCATTTATCATTGTAAGAATTCATTATAAGATACATCACAGTCTCAGAGATGCTAAGATATGAAAAATGTGAACCTTAAATTAGATAAAATACAGATTGTTAAAATGAATTCACTAAAACAGATTAGCATAGTGTCAAGAACTCCAAATCTAGAGTTGGACAGAAAGATGGGTTCAAATCCCAGCACTTCCTAGCTGTGACTTAGAAACTTGGCTTGTGTAAGCCTTAGTTTCTTCGTATGTGAAATGGGGATAACAGTAGAAGCTGCCTCATAGGGTTCTGTGAATATTAAATGAGATAATTCTAATAATGTGTTCAGCATAGTAATTATTCCATATATTTTAGTCCCATGTTTGATTAGATCACAAAGCTTATTCAAGATCAGCATTAATTTCAAACAACATGCAGGAAAATCTTTTTGTAAGTTTGTTACTATGGCATACTAATCAGCAAATACTTATTAGTTCCTTACCAGGCTTGAGGACTACACCTCTGAGTTAGGTGTTTTCTGGTGTATTTTCCAGTTGAGCTAGATTAGAATGAATATCAGAGTAGTCTTGGTGAGTGAATGAAGTCACAAAAATATACCTGAGGAATGTATAAAAGGTCAGTCCTGTACCCATTTTGGTGACTGGTAGGATGGTAAAGGGAAAATTGAAGACGTCATCTATGTTTAGAAGTGTGTGTGGTGGGGGGAGAGAGAGGGAGAAAGCACCGGTGGGTGGGGGGCATAAGGGTGAATCATAGTAGCAAAAGAGTGGCTCTTCTGAGATACGTATAAGATTGTTCCTATCCACATAGGGTTACACTCTTACAGGTGCTATGAAGCTATGTAGGGGATATTATTGGCCTCATGGTATGTCCAGATTCATAAAGCAGCAACTTTTGTTATAATTGACTTCATCTATAGTATATCTGAAGAAACCTACACCTTGTCATGAACAAGGCATAACAATGATTAGTTCCATAGTTCATTCTAGACTAAGTTTCCTCGTACATACGTTAAGAGCTTTCATTCTGTCACTGAAGATATGCATTGTTGATACGATGCTCTCACATCAGTTTTCTGGAGGACATATGCCTATGAAGGAACAGGTGGCTGATTAATATCATTATTTTTATTAAATTCCTGAACCATCGCAGAGTAAGTACTTTTCTTTAAAGGAAGTATAGCTGCCTTTAAATATAACTCTGGGATACAGCTCACCTTTTCTGTTTATTTTATTCTTAACTTGTGAAACTGTATCTTAGGACTTGGGGTATATAACTTGTTATTTGATATCAGCTGAACAACAGTGAATCAATTGTAACAGTTCTGGCACTAAAGGAAAAGGAGGGGACTTAAATATGTTTCCAGAAGACAAAAAAGCTCCTCTTTGTGTACACTTTACAACATATGCTACAACTTTAGAATATTCAAAAGTCCAAAAAACTTTTCTCACTACTTCTCATGAAAGACCAAGCAGACAAAACAGAGAACACAAACTAATTCCAACCCACATACTATTTATCAGATTTCTGGATGCAATTCAGACTGAAACCCCCTAAAGACCTTCTCTTCTTCTCTCCCTTCCGGTAACAGCATTAGAGCGGTATTCCTCACTGCGGAACACACCCACTCCCACACTCCCGTGTTATCTGGCCAGGAAGGGGGTGCGCGGGGGTCGTGGCAGCGCAAACAGGCTCCTCGCGAATCCTTGCTGCGTGGGAGGTCGTCCCAGGTTCGCTGTGGGTAAGAGCAGGCTTCGAGATCAGGTCAGAGGGCTTGGGATCTCCACCGTGTACACCAGGGCACGCCGCCGAAGCTACTGGAAAAACCTTTAACAGGGAATGCCTGTACTAGAGCGCTCCGCACAACCTCAGCAATCCTACTCTCTTGACTTCTCGGCGTCCCGGATAACAGCTCCAGGATTTTTAGCATTTCTCCGGGCGCCAGTTTCTCGCCGACCCCTTGCGGGAGCGGAGCCAGCTTCCGCGGCTCACTCTGGCCTCCCGGCTCGCCGGGGACCCAGCGAGTCGAGCAGAGCGGGTGCGGCTTCCCCGGGCTTCCAGATGGGGCACAGAAGAGGCGAGAGGGGCTGCTCAGCTCTCTTGGGTACACTCCCAAGTACTGGTGATTTGGCGTTGAGGGGAAAAAAATAATGCTAAAATGCAAAATAGCCAACGTGGAGATGCTCAGCCCTCCGGAGGACACTCCCAAATATCTCTAATTTGATGTTTAAGAAACAAAAGAATGCTAAAATGCAGATTAGGCAATGTAATACCCAGAATGAGCCTTGACAGACCAAACGGAATTTATTGGAAAGCTAACACACATTCCCCCACAACGAATTCATTCTATCTTTTAAGTTAAAAAAAAAA